TTAATCACCAAGGGCTCTGTTCCAAACATGCTCTGCATAAATAAGGAAGGAAATAAATAAAGCTTACTGCTTCCACAACAAAGCCACCCAGTGGCGCTGAGATAGTGCTGCACGTGGGGGAGTGAGGCCTGGGGTGGGGGGAGTGGCAGAGACTTCCAGGGTTCTGAGCCCTGTTCTGTCTGTGTCCTGCTGTGTAACCTCCAGGCAGGACTCTTAAGCTCTCTACACTCAATTTTCTAGTATGCCAAAAGGGGGTGGGGCGCATTTGGCAACCCTCACAGAAATGGCTAAATTCAATCAGTCTGCAGAAATGTTTGAGAAAGTGAGCAAGGTCAGATGAGGGAGGGACAGTGATGACTGCAGTTTAGTTACATGACACTCCATTTGCTCATTGCTGTCATCCAGCAAAAAGCCCTGAGAGCATCTGCTGGACAAGGCTTACAGGGGATGTGTTCAGTGTAACATTCTGGGCTGGGACTGTGGACCTTGTATCTCCCAGCCAGTGCTCTTTGCTGCACCATGGGAAGGAAATCCAAGAACAGCCAGTGCCTCAGGCTCTTCTTCACAAGCCCGGTGATTTTCCTTTCAGCAGAAACCTGCAGACTTACAAGCTTCTACCTGCTGAAGAGGTAAATATGGGGTGTAGGTAGGGCCAGGTGACTCCCTGGGCCTTCCCCAAGCAAGCCAGATCTCCTCAGTGACCCAGGGCATGCAGTGAAGTGAGTTGTGGCCTAAAGTGAAGTGTACCAAAGTTAGGTGCAGTGGGAAAAGAGGGTCATGAGGGATGGGGAAGGAGAATGGGGGTGGCCTTGGGACAGGAGAGCTTCCTGGAGAGAATCCTAGCTGGATCCGTGTTGGACCTTGGGGTCCTGGAGTCAACCAGCCACATTCCCCTGTATCAGAATTGCAAGCTCAAAGGCTGAGGGCCCTGGGATTGAATCTTGGCTTTGTCACTTCCTGACTGTGTTCCTGAGCAAGTGACCTCATTCTTCTGAGCCTCATTTTATTCATACAATTATCCCTGCCTCACAGACTAGTTATGGACATTGTGTGATTGTGACTTTGTGATAAAGTAAGAAATAAATACATTCATCTCTGCATTCCACTCTCTTCTTGACACAGAGCTTCCAAAGCTGTTGTAGGCAGAGGTGCTAGAAGAACCTTAAATTCTAATATTTGGCCTTTGATCCTAGTTTCTGACACAGACCTCCTTTCTTGAATGATAGGAACATCTTCTGCTGTAATCAGGTAACTCCTGGAGGCTCGTGGACAACTTGCTAGGGGAACAAGTCACGTGACTAGGTTGAGCTTTTAGCCCCATATACTCATTTTGGGGGAAACGAGAGGGCTGCAGGTTGTGCTGATCATCAGTGGTCAGTGATTTAATTAATCATGCTTGCATAATGAAAATTCCATAAAATCCCAAAAAGGGTGAGATTCAAAAGACAAGAGGAAGGAACAGTTACTGGAATTCTGTCAAGGCTGTGACTGAGAAGTGAAGGTGTCTTTAGAAGATTTGGTTTTAGGAAGAAGTAGGCTGCCAAAGGGGGTCTGTTATGGTTTATGTCTAGATGCTCCCCCCAAACCTCATGCTGTCATAGATGGGGATTTTTCAGAGGTGTCTAGATCTAGAAAATGATGCTGGGGTTTTAAGAGTGTGTGATTACTAAATTAGCCCACAGTGGGTTGGTGCCCACCTTAAATGGGGTAGCCCAAATAGAATAGAAGCTGGGCAGAAAGAAACTGCTGTTGGTTTGTAGCTTGGTGCATTCGACCTTCTATCTTCTGCCCACAATGAACTGTTCTCTTCTGTGATGCCCCTCTGCCATGCCATCATGCCTTGGAGCCACCAATTATGGGCAGAAACCTCTACAAATTATAAACCAAATTAAGCCTTTTCTGCTTTAACTTAGGTGTTACATATTTTGTCTCAGCAAGAAAAAAGTAGCAAAAATGGAGGCCCAGCAAGGAGGAGGTGGAGAGATAAATGCCCTACTCTTGGTTCCATCTATGGTTAGCCTGATATCTACTGAGTCTACCAGAATTCAGAGGGCAAAGGAGTCTAGCAGGGAGCCAGGGTTTGGGCAGGGATGGCGGGAAGGATGTGGAAGCAAATATCCACCAGGCTCTGCAAATAGCTATGAAGGTGTGAGCCTCTGTGCGAAGGACATTATTTCTGTGGAATCACAGTCCAGAGCTGTTTAAAAGCTGCCAAGACAAAAAAGGATGCATTTAAGACATTTCTAGGAAAATGGATGCACTTTGAGGCCATACTCTTAAGTGAAATAAATTAGACATACATCTCTGGTGTGAGAAACTGAAAGTATAAATAAGGACCAAAATATATTTTGAAATAGAAGAAAAATGCTCAAGTGGGGAGAGGAATAAGACAGAAGGAGAGGGAAATGAAAGAAGGGAAAAGTAAAAAAATGAGAAAAGAAGGAAAATATAGAAACAAAACTTTGTAAACAGGGAGGGGAGGAGGGGTTAAGGGGAGGTTAGGAGGCATGGGGGAAATATATTATGTATAGGCCCAAATTCTCTATGATGAATGTGATCATTATGTATATCTAACATGTACCACTAAAATCTAATTTAAAAAGTAAGTAAATACTGGCAAGAGATGACAAGATCTTCCTGAAGGGTGGGGCTATGCAGTTCAGAGTGAGTGAGAATTTTCCGGGTCCAGGAGCACATTCCTTTCATTGCCAAGGCGCATGGCAACATGAAGCCTGAAGGCAGAGGTGGAGATCATCAGGGTGGGGGGTTATGTGCAAGAGGAGGGGAAACAAAGGACTCCTTGGAGATGAGGGGACTGATCATGGGCCTAGGGCAAGCAGGGGGAGCTATTAGGGCGTTAGATGCCAGGGGCTGGCCAAGTCTCTTGCCCCATTCAGGGCTACATTTCCTAGTGAGAGTCTTTGTATGTGTGTGTGTGTGTGTGTGTGTGTGTGTGTGTGTGTGTGTGTGGTTGTTTTGTAACTTTATTTGAAAGTTAGTTCTCATCCATGTCTATTGTCTGGAGACTTTTGAATGGGGTATCAGGGACATAGAGGTTACAAAAGCATACAGCTTGTTTGGTGAATCTTCATTCTCTACATTTTCTGGGCAAACTTACATGGATATGATATGGGACATTCCTTATTCTTCTGCTCAAATAACTTTGTTGAACCTGGTGTCAGTGCACACATCCAGAGTCCCCATCTCCTTCATGACAGATTTCAGGATCTTCTTAAGCCCATTCCATAAGTCTGCTTGGGAATGTTGATTGTGTATTCTTGGGTCATCTCTTTGATGGCAGAATAACCCTTCTTCTTCTCGCCCCTTCTTTGTGGGAGCCATTCTGCAGGGCCCAAGTTGGAAAGCCAAGAGTCAGTTTTGAAAAATGAATTTTTAATGACATCAGCTCCAAATATATTCTTTGTGTCAAAAATGAAAGCGCTAAGGATCCATCACTTTTGATGTACAGCTCACCCGGCTGCCGGGGCTCAGAGTATGATTTCCAGCTCTTTGCCTAGCAATTTCACTTCCGGTGATTGCTGTTTGCAGCCCACACCCCCACACTGCACCCAATAGGGCCATGTGGAAATGTCTGGAGGGCTTTTGGTCATCATGTCGGAGAATGATGCACTTACATTTAATGAGTAGATGGTTCTCAACACCCTACAACACACAGCACGGCCTCTGCTATGAGGAATTATCTAGCCCAACATGTGAGCAATTTTGGTCTAGGCCAGGGGTAAATTTTTTGCCCTATTGCTCCCCCAAATCTTTTAAAATATTTTCTCCCTAGTCATTTGTCCCTCTATCCATGAAGTACAAATACATTCTATATGGTTGATGTGCTCTTTGTAGAGCTGCATTGGCTTTAAGAAAAATGAAAGCTTTTAGCCCACCAAGAACCAATTATCGATCCCTTGAGGACAATATTGCCACTACTGAAAATTCATGGCATAGGTATTTACACATGAGCCACACTGTATGTACAGTTTAATTGTACTGTGCTGCATGCAGAGTTCTCCAGCACAGCTTTTCAGATCAAATATACATGCACGCGACGTTCTGTTCTAGGCAGTCATTCTTCTACCCACAAACACTTAGCATTTAGGTTGATCCCACCCCCTCCCATATAATTGCTGTGAACACATATTGTTATTCCTTTTTAATTAAACTTTTATTCTAAGATAATTGTAGATTCACATCTGCACTTGTATGAAGCAATATAGAGGGGTCTTGTGTACTTTGTATCCAGTTTCTTGCAAAATTATAGTAGAATATCCAAACCCCAACCTTGACATTGAAACAGTCAAGTCACAGTGCTTGCTACAGCACAGGGTCCCTGTGGAAGCCATTTCCACTTCCTCATCCTCCCTGCCCTTAATCTTTGGTAATCACTCATCTTCTTTTTATTTGTAAAATTTTGTCATTTCCTATTGGAATCACACAATATATAATTTTTTGGGATTGGCGTTTTTTCACAGTAGAATTCTCCAGAAATTCATCCAGTTTGCTGTTGATCCTTCAATTGCTGAGACATTTCTTGCAATAGCAGTATATCATGATTTAACCAATAACCTACAGAAGGCAGCTAGTTGTTTCCAGTGTGGCTTTATTACGAACAGAGCTGCTATAAGCAGTCATGTATATATTTTCTTGTATGTAAACACAAGTTTTAAGTTTTCTTGGGTAAATGCCCAGGAGTATGGTTGCTGGATCATATTATTGTTGTATGTTTAATTTTTCTTTTTTAAAGCTCCAAATTGATTGCTAGAGCAAATACCATTTACATTCCCACCAGCAATATAGGGGTATCATCACTTCATCTTGAGCAGCATTTGGTCTTGCTGTTATTTTCTATTTCAGCCGTTTCAGTAGTGTGCACTGATATCTTAGCATAGTTATAATTTGCATTTCCCTAATGGCTAATGTTGCTTGCATGTAATTGTTTCCCATCTGCATATCCTCTTTAGTGAAATGTCTCTTAATTTTTTTGGCTTATTTTCTAATTGGAGTGTATATTAAGACACTATTATCCTTGCACAGGGGCCATGCTAATTTTCTTTGTATCATTCCAATTTTAGTATATGTGCTGCTTAAGTGAGCACGAAATTTTTTAAAAGGTAGGCCTATTATGGTAAATTTTATATATGATAAGATATACTCTTTAGGCATATATTTCTATGAATTTTGAGAAGTGCATACAAGCAGGTATCCACTCTTATTCCAATTAATACGTAATATAGTTCTATCATCTCCCCTCAGATTCTCCTATGCCTCTTAGTTGCATGCACAGTAACAACTTACTGTTTCTCCTTAGAGTTTTGTCTTTTTAGAAAGTCATATAAGTGAAACCATGCAAAATATAACACTTTGAGTCAGGCTTCTTAGTATCATGAATTTGAGAAGTTATGCTAGCTTCATATATATATAAAACTATTAAAAATTATTTTTGATACTATTCCTGTTGGGTACGTGTTTTACATTTCTCCTAATCTGTGGCATGTCTTTTCAGCTGATTAACAAAGTCTTTCACAGAGGAAAAAATATTTTAATACAATCCAACTTATCAATATTCCCTTTTATGAATTACAGTTTTGGTGTCAAGCCGAAGAATTCTTTGCCTAGCTCTAGAAAGTGAAGATTTTCTAGTTTTCTTTTTCAAAAGATTTTATGGTTTTACATTTTACAGTTAGGACTGTGATCCATTTTTAGCTAAATTTTGTATATGACATGTAAGTGAAAAATACATCGTGTTTAAAAATCATTATAGTAAGAGATGCCTTACCATTAATCCCCTCAAAGTATTCCCCTCTCTTCAGCCAAACCCATCCCACTGTTCTCGCCACTCTTGAGCCAGCCGTGGAAATCCTCCTTTCTGAGTGTTTTTATTTACACTGTCATGGCTACCTCGATGTCCTAAATCAATTCAAAACATTTGTCTTTCATGATTTGGGCCTTGAGGAGCAGCTGGAAGTTGCACGGTGCCAGGCCTGGTGAACGGTGCATGAGGACGCGCTCTAACATTTCTAAGGCCCGCGTTGCTGCTGGTTGACTTACCACTTACCATGCTTCCGATTTATAGACACGAAAGAGGACTTCTAGGACAGCTTCAGAACGTGGCAAGAGCAATGGGCTAAGTGTGTTCAAAGTGAGAGAGCATGTTTTAAGGGGAACTGAAAGCCACGTGTCTTTTATTGTAATAATGTTTTGTTGTCATCACTTTTTGAACATTTGCCCATCCATTGTAGTTTTCAATCTCCCTCCATAGATGTAAGGTTTAGGGTTAAATTATTCTACTTCTCCCTTCTCTTCTCTCGCCCTTCTTCCTCCTTCCTTTTCTTTGTCTATGGAGATCCAGTTGCTTAGCACCATTTGTTGAAACCCTTTACACGTTTGCTAAAAGTCAGCTGAGTATTTTTATACGGTCTGTTTTTGGATTCTCTATTCTTCTCCATTGATCTAATTTGTCTATCCCTCTGCCAAAATCACAATCTTTGTTACTGTAGCTATAAAGTAAGTCTTGAAATCAGACAGATAGGTTTCTCTCACCTTATTCTTGTTTTTAAAAATAACGAGCTATTCTAATTTCTTTGATTTATCATATAAATTTTAGAATAAGATTGCCTGTATCCACAAAAATTTTGCTTGGATTTCGATAATAACCGTGTTAAACTTGTATATCCATTTTTGGGGAAACTGACATCTGTATCTATATCTGTTTTTTTTTTTTTCTTTTGTACTGAGGATCAAACTCATGCCTGCACACTTGCCAGGCAGGTGCTTAGCTGCTGAGCTAAACCCCTGGCCCCATCTTTACTGTATTGACTCAGTTCATCAGAATTTTATACTTCTCTGAATGCAGGTCTACTACACGTTTGGATATATTTATACCTTTCTCTCTTTGTTTAGCAACTTTACATATTAAATTTTAAAATCCAGCACCTAGGTGTATGTACATTGGTAGTACACAGAAGCACAACTGATTTTTGTGTGCCTATCATATCCTGAAAACTTAACTCACTTAATAATTTTTTAAAATGTCACATTCTATATTTATTTTAAGATTTTTATGATGGAAATTATATTTCACTTATTATTATTATTAGTCTTTTTGAGACAAGGACTTCCCTATGCAGTTCAGGTTGGCCTTGAACTTACTTCGTAGCCCAAGCTAGCCTTGAATCACAGAAATACTCCTGTCTCAGCCTCCCAAGTGCTGGGATTACAGGTTTATGCCTTCATGCCTGGCACTCACTTATTAATTGTAAGGTCGGTCTGCTTTTGTTTTAAATTCCTTAACATTTTCAGCATGTATAATTACGTCACTTGCAAACGCTGACAGTTTCATTCATTTCTTTCTGGTCTGTGCACTTCTTTATTTCTTTCTCTTTTTTTCTTTCTGTCCTTTTGCATTGGCCAGAACTTCCAAAATCATGTGGTATAAAGATGAGATTAGACATCTTCATCTTTTTCCTGAGCTTATGGATAAAAAGCCTTTCACTACTAAGTATAAACTAGGTGTAGATTTTGTGAAAATATTTTGAATAAGTTAAGGTTTACCCTATTTCTATTTTTTCAGTTTTGATACCAAATTGGTATATATATATATATATATATATATATATATATATATATATATATATTTGTATTTGTATAGACTCATGCCGCATGTGATTTTTCTTTAGTTTGTCTGTCTGGAGGGTTGCATTAATCAATTTTCAAATATTGAAAAATATTTGATCATAGTAAACAAGTTTTCCCATATTACAAATTTCAGTTGCTAGCATTTCTTTAAGGACTTTTGTGTTTGTATTCATGAGAGATATTGGTTTGTAGTTCTCTCTTTTTTTTTTTGGATACTATGTTTATGTTTAGTTTCAGTATTGTGATAATGCTAGCTTCATAAAATGAATGTAGATATGTTTTCTCTTTTTCTGTTTCTGGGAAGAGCTTGTGCATACTTGGTGTTACTTTAAACATTTGGTAGAATTCTTTATTGAAGCCATCTGGGTCTTGTCTTCTTTTTTAGGAGATTTAAAATTATGAATTCAGTGTCCTTAATGGTGCTATCTAAATGATCTGCTTCCTATTTAGAGGCATGGGGGTAGTTAGTGTTTTTGAAGTAATTGACCCATTTTATTTAACTTGTCAGGTGGGCAGGCTGTTGTAGTAATCCCTTCTTATCTCATGATGTCTGCAGGGCCTGTGTTGATTTCTGGTTTCATTCCTGATGTTAGTAATCGTGTCTTCCCCTATTTCTCCACTGTTATCCTTCACAGACGCTTGCCAGTTTTCCTGACTTTCAAAAGAACCAGGTCTTTGTTTCTTTGATTTTTATGTATTACTTTACTGTTTTCAAATTCATTGATTTCTGCTTTTATTTTTACAGTTTCTTTTACTCTGCTTGCATTGGGATTTTGTTGTTCTAATTTTCCTAGGTTCTTGAGATAAGACATTCAATGACTGCTTTGAGAGTTTTCTTCCTGATATATTCATTTGGTGCTATAAATCTCTTTCTTAAGACCGTTTCAACTATGCCCCAATTTTTGATGTATTGTGTTTCCATTTTCATTCACCTCCATGTATTTTTTTTCATTGAAGTTACTTCTTTGATACAAGAACTCTTTAAGTGAGTCAGTTAATTTTCAAGAGTGTGGAGATTTTTCCGTTTGCCTTCTGTTATTGATTTCTGGTTTTATTCCATTGTGTTTGAAAAACATACTCTGTGTGATTACAATTCTCTAAAATGTATTCAAGTGTTTGTAAAGGCTCAGGATATTATCTATCTTAGCATACGTTTTGTGAGAAACTGAAGAGAACGTGTATTCAGCTGCTGTTGAGTGGAGTGCTCTATAAACGTCAGTTAGGTTCTGGATAGTTTTGGAATTTTCACTCCTACTTTTTTATGGTTAAGGCTGATATGTAATATTTTTTTCTGTACTTTTACTTTGAACCTGACTTATCATTATATTTCAAGGGAGTTTCTTATAGGTATAATATATTTGGGTAGTATGTTTTAATACACTCTGTTCATCTCTTTTAATTGGTATACTACAATTGACTTTATTATTATTTTTCTGTGGTATTGTGGATCAAACACAGGGCGTTATGTGTGCTAAGCATCACTTTATCCCTAACTAAGCTACACCATCAGCTACAGCAGTTGATATCCAATGTAATTATTGTCCTGTGTTTTAAACTAGACCTTTTTGTTTATATTCTTTTACTAGATTTTTATAAATATATATTTTCTTTTTCCTTCCTGTTGGTTACTAAATGTTCTTTAGAATTCCATTTTGACTCCACCATGTATTTGTTGAAAGGATTTCCTAATGCAGCTTTTTTCAGTGGTTGCTTTAAATATTACACTGTATTTTCACTTGTTTCAATCTACTGGTACTGTCATTCTATCAGTTCATGAAGTGAAGAAAATTTACATCCCTCTCCTCTTATTTATAATATAATTTTCTTGAATATTTCCTCTGCATACATTTGGAACAGTAAGAATTGATCCAAGGAGGTGAAAAGTTTTTGGAATTGGTTCAAGGAAATAATCAGTTTTTCTTCAATGAGGAATAATTTAGGAAACTTGAGATGAGAAAAACAAATGTATTGTATTTGCATATAGTTTTGCTTTCCATGTTCTTCTTTCCTGATGTCTCCAAATTCCTTAATTTATCATTTCCTTTCTGTGTAGAAAACTATCTTTAATCATTCTTTTATTTTTTGTAGGCAGTACTTTTTCTTAGTTTTTCTTTATCTAAGAATGACTTGATTTCTTTTTCATTTTTGAAGAGTATTTTTAATGTATATATATTCCTTTTCTTTCATGACTTGAAAACTATAGTAACACTTCTCTTTGGCATTCATGGTTTCTGATGAGAAATGCACCATAATTCAATTTGGATTTTCTTCTATCAGTAAAGTGTCATTTATATTCACTTTCAAGGTTTTGTTTTATGCCTTTTGTCTTCAGAAGTTTGAGTATAATTGTCTTGGCACACATTTCTTTGCAAGTGTTTTGTTTGAGGTTTAATCATCTTCTTGTATCTACAGGTTTATGTCTTTTGCCAAACTTGGGAAGTCTTCAAGTGCTACTTTGTTT